GAAATCACAGTTGTGAGGTGTGGTGCACGCCACCAACGCAGAAGGCTTTAAAAGAGGTCCAGACAACGTGATGGTGGGCAAGTTCTGATGGTGATTAGTTTTGGTGGCTGTTTGCTAGCTCCAAAATCACAAATCATGTCTAGATTTCCAGCTGCTGGAGAACCCCACTGAAAAGAGGATAATTGTACATCTGTCTATGTCTTCATCGGCTTGGCCACCATGTAACACACAATTCCTGCTACATAGGCTATTGGGCTGTCTCCGTTAATTTATCCAATCCTCTTTCAAAGTCCTTCAACTACCATGTAATTTTCTAGTATCTAGGTTGTTCAATATTATCTTCTTCTGAGATGGTTTTTCAACATTCCAGTCTAGCCTATCATTCAGGGATTTTCTGGTGGTCTCCCATCCACCTACTGCCACAGCACGATCAGCAAGCTGTTGCTGCATGCTGAAACTCGCTTGCCTAGTAATGTTCAACTAAAGCAAGTATCTGTCACCTTGGGATGGAGAAATTCTATCATTTCTAATTGCCGTTAGAAATTCGTTTCTCATTTCTCCAACCCTACATTTGTCTTACCTGTTTGCAAATGATTTTAAGAGTTCAGGCAAAAACGCGCATGTATTTTCAAGCATGTTCCCCTTCACCCTTTTTGTCTTGTCATTTTTCTCCAAATCTCTTCTTCATATAACTTTTCCTGACATATGATACTTTGGCAGGATATTTTCATTACTAAATGCCCTTAAGATTTATCCCCCCAATATACATATTTTTGTACCTTAAAAAAAAGTCTCACGAAAGACAAAAGGTAAAGTAGAGCTAAGGGTTGATTTGCAAGGTCTGAGAAGCCTACGTTCGATACGCTTGCGCTAAAATACAAATCAAATTGTTTTCTCTCCCATCTCAATGCACCCCATATAGTCATCTTCATTTACTGCCTCTTATGCTAAAGGATGCTGAAGCAGTCTGCTATAGAAACAGCTGCTAAAACACACAACAAACAACACGTTAAAGTAATCTAAATTTTCTTTGAAAAAAGGGGGGAGAACATTCTGCCGATATTCCTCCTGGGAGGGTTTGAGTGAAAGCCATGAGTTTTCGACAAAACCCCCAAATTCCAAGATGGCATTTAACCTAGTTGCTAAATTAACCCACATTCTGGGTTTGCATTAGATACTGAACCATTAGCTAACCAAAGGGGCCAGGTTTGTGTGACAGGCAGGCTAAGCCCCAGAACACCTAATGCAGATTAATCAAATTTAATCAGAGCTCCTAGGCCGGAATTGCAAACTTCCAGAGCAGTGATTCTCAACCTTAGCAACTCTAAGATGTGCGGACTTCAACTCCCAGAATTCCCCAGCACATTTTCCATGCCGAGGACCAGAGTTGCAGATAGCCTGAAACTGGTCCTGCTCCACTGGCTGGGCTCCAGAAAGCAGATGTGGTCAAGGTCTAAAAGCTAAATTAATCCTTTCCATTTCCACGTGCACCTCATTTCATTCATCAAATCGGGTGGGTGCAATCTACCCCCTTGCATTTCATCTTTTCCTCCATCGTATTACAAGTTAATTTTTGGATCTCTGCAGGGGACGTTCAAAGGATTCTGAGGATGCTTATGTGGTGGTGGTGGGGGGGAGTTCACGTGGTCCTCTCCTACTTTGAATCCTGTTGTGCCCCTCCCCCCCATCAGATCCGTGGAGGCTGCATTCACACAAGATACTGGACTCAGATCAAGACTTAGTGGCCACCGTTGTAAAATGTGCTTACTGGGACTATCAAACCTAAATCCAGAAAATGATAAGGGGGCAGGAAAGAGAGACAAACTTCTAACTGGTTACTACTCTCTTGTGTTCCTCTGGAACGATGTTTCTCAACCATGGCAACTTTTAAGATGTGTGGACTTTTGGACAGCCAGGGGTGTCCAAAACTGTCAAGATGGAAGCCACAACACGGGAACAGAGTTCTGCCTGGGACAGACGGAACTTCGGGCGCCCTGTTGTAGCCCCCATCTTGATTTTTTAGATCATGCACCATGTGAACTCAAATATTTCGTGCAAAGCCCTGTGTCTTTTTATCAACTTTAAATCTTTCTACCAGCTGTATATAGGAAAACCATTGACATAGATGTCCCTCTGATGTGAAATCCTCTCTTGGTTTTATTTCAAATTCTCCTTGGTGAATATCGAGGATATTGCCCTAAGTTAACTATTTCTGCTTAATTACCATTTCTTTCCTGTAGAATGCTTCTTGGGATGTGTGAACCCAACACTGAGCATTATGCAAGAACACCCACATGTGGTGTCAAATCTGGGTGGTGAGAAGGGTATCCTGAACCAATGTCTTGAAGCCCTACCATGCTCTTTCACCAGCTGGTCGGCTGGTCGGAAACCACACAGCTAGGTGGGGTTGTGTATGTGTGAACTCACAAAATTCAAGGGTTTGAGGACTGAGGAACAAGCGATCAGCCTCCACCTGTGTGAACAAAGCTAGTAGACCAGACTTCCCCAACTGGAGGCCAGATGAATGGAGGCCAGAGAGCTAAAGCAGTATTTCTTAACCTTGGGCACTTTAAAATATGTGGACTTCAACTCCCAGAATTCTCCAGCCAGCCATGATTCCACACATCTTAAAATGGCTAAGGTTGAGAAACACTGGCCTAAAGTCAATGCTGGTTGACAATTATCAGAGCTAAACTGCAGCATATCTGGAGCGCTTTTCAGATGGGGAAACTGTCTTAGGTGTTTCTTGGGGGCTCTTTATAAAGACCACTTTGCCTCTTGCAGAAGGAAAATAGATATTTTCCAAACTTATTGAAAAGGTGGATTCAGCAACTGAAAGCTGGAGATTTGCTGGACACCAAATGAGCTTTCCCAACTGAGATGTGGTTGGATTTGGTCTCGGAGTGCGCAGGAACATGAACGCAGCACTTGTCTGCAACGTTGCAAAGCAGTTGTGCAATGGTGCAGACAGCCATGGTTGAAAATGCTCCCCCAGGGGCTCCAAGCTGGGTAGGGAACATCACTATGGTGTCTTCCTCAAAGCTTGGAGAGCAGATTGCTGGGTAGAAAGGGGAATCCCTCACCCCATCTCACAACTTCCAAGAAGGAAGGTTGCTGCCCATCTTCCTCTTCCTTTCTAACGTGTTACAAGGGTTGCGTTCACACAGCACGCTAACCTAACCTGATCAACGAATTAAACTCTCTTCTGCCTTTGCCCAGGACCTCCAACACAAAGGAGCCAAAAGGCCTGCATTCACACCACATGCCTGGCCACAAAAAACTAAGCAAGGTTAATGCAGGTTTTGTGAATGGAGCCACCAAGTGTTTAACTGATCCAGTTAAAGGTGTTGTGTGATCACAGTCAAGGACTCTGATAGAGGAACAGCAGGCCCAAACTCCTCACTGACTGAACAGAAGAGTCTTATTCAATTTGAGACTTCCCAAATACTTGCGGTAACAACTCTCAGATTTCTTAGCCCACCAACACCAAGTGGGCCAGAAAATTCTGCAAGTAGCAGTTGCAGAACAAATGGAGAAGTTGGAGAAGTTAAAACAGGTGTTCCCTTCTACTTTCCAAGAGCGATGGAAGTGCAAAGAACATCTTAATTCAAGGTATCCAGATTCTTCCTTTACTGGGGCAGGTATAGAAAGTGATTTTAATGACATTTTGAAATTTTTGATGGCAATTTTATCCCACCCTTTTCTCTCGTTTGCACAGGGTAGCACTGAGTTGACCACAGAGGGATAACACTGGTATACCGAAAAGCTTCAGGAAGTAAAAAGATCTTTGCTGAAAAAACAATCATGAACCCAGGTTCAAAACATAAAACTTTCAGAGAAATGTGTGCTTTATAATATCAAACCTTTACATGCCGCTTGGCCAAGGCACAAGAATAAAAATCTCCAAAGACCATTTCAGCTACAGAAAGTACCACAAACCGGCCAGGATGTCAAATGTGGAAATGATAGTTTAAGATTACTCCTCAGCCATGCCCGTCAAATCCCCTGAGTATAAGTGAGAGAGATTTGCTGATATCTTGAACGTTGACTTAGGTTGTACATCAAAGCAATTTCCCCGTTATATTTTCTGCAACCTGACCGTGCACGCAAAGACTTTAAAATCTGATTTATTTCATGGGACAATCTGAGATACACCATCTCAACAATAAGGGGAATGCAGAGCGAGGAAGGGAGAAGAATCAAATTCATGTCATTTCTGCAATAAGGTTATGACACATGGTATGTGGTTTTCCAACACGCCGATATATGAATCCTAAATATAAGAATCCAATATGCATATAGAAACGTAGTCAAAAGAGAGGAGATGCGAGCGATTCACACTACACACTAAGCCCTAAGCCTCGGCTGACAAACCACAATGCCTGAGTTCACACAAGCTAATACAAAACCCAACTACATTATGGCAAACCGGAACATTTGAGCCACATCGCAGACAAGGAGAGTTCATAGTATGGTAAACCAAAAAATAGTTTGTGACTACGAAGAATTCCTTCAGCAAAGAGGCCTTTGGGAACAGAATATCCCACGTTTGCTATTTTCCTTTTTTCAACCTGTGGTAGGCCACCAACAAGTAAGATATGGAGATATGAGCAAGAGACACAGATCTGCCTGTCGATGCACTAGTAACGGATCTTGTTTATGTGCAAAGCTACATTAACTTTCATTCGCCCTCCAGCGTAAATCATAAATATAAGTAAGTATATATATCAAAAGGGGTGAGTAGTCCACTTTGCAAAGCTACAGTGGGTTCCACCCAACCTACTCTCCAACCTCAATTATAAGTAGACATAATTATATCAAGAGATAGATGACAGTACATGGGTTTATTTTCATGGTTTCCTTCGGTCCCGCCCCCACTCCAACCGGTGGCTGCTGGCATAGTCAGAGGACAGACACCGCCACCTTGGTGGGAAGCTCACTTTAGAACTTGTACCTTCAGACCAAGGAGAAGGGTTGCGAGTTGGGACACCTCACCCTACCTGTTCCATGGTTGAGAGCATTCCATCTAGCCATCCTGGAGGCTTCTCCAAGACCTCTGGAGTTCCCTTCCAAGGCTTGTCATAATACGTTTGGAAAAGAAGAAGAAGAGGCACGCAAATGTGGTAGAAAACAAGAGAAGGAGAGGGAAGCAAGTGAGAACTTACTTAACAGGAAAGGGAGTGACAACGGAAATGGCGTAACCAAATGCAAGACTGAAGGCCTTTTTGGGGAAAGCTGCAGCCGCTGGAGAGCTCTCAAGAAGGGTTCCTAGACATAGGAAAAGCCAGTGACCACACTGAGGGTGCAGAGAGGAAGTGGTTGAGAAGTGTGGCAGTGTGCAGAAGCACAGGGCGTGGCCCGAGAGAGTCCCTGTCTTTCCATCCTATTGTTATACTGCAACACTTTCGGGCGACATGTTGAAATTCATACGCAGGGCCTTTCCGGAGGCCTCACCTCTCCTGCATCGATTGCATCTGGAAGCTGCAGTGGACAATTGATGGACCCTTGAGGGACAGGGGGAAGGAGGGAGATGGGATCTGCAGCACTACACTTTGGCACACTTTGGTGCCCTTCCTCTTCTTGCTAAACACAAGCACTTTTCATTGGCTGGTATGGTGGTGGAGATATTTGAACCTCCTTCCTCAATTTCCCGCCCTACCACTGGTCTTCCAAACACAGAATCCAACAAACACGGAAGCAGATTTCTAGAGGAGATGCACATCTTAGGGATGGCTCCTGGATTGGCTTCCTAGAAGCTTACCTGCTCCAAACATGGTCATGTTCAGAGGTCAGGACCAAGGTTCAAGGGCTGGATCTAACACTAGCACTGCAGATGTTGATGGTGACCATTTATCAGCTTTCTCTGATGTGCCTGTGGCCTGCTCTTGAGAGACCGAGACCTTGCTAGGGTTGGGCCTTCCAGAAAAATTTGCAATCAGAATATGGGACTGTTTCTGTTGTGGCTTTCTGCCCCTCTGCTGTTTGATTAGCTCACTTAGATGTTACTGATTTTTCCTAGCATTAATGGTTTCATCGATTGGTCATCCTTAACACTGTCCCTGAGACATTTCCAGGATCATTATTTATTTACTTTATTAAATTTATGATGCCCACCCGCTCCAAAAGACGCTGGCCAGCTTTCAAACAAGGATTTAAAATAAACCCTCCCTCCCTCCCTCCCTCTATGCCATCCACCTCAGCAAATGCAGGGGACTAACCATGGCTTTCTTCTTCTCTTTAGGACCAGATCTCAGAGTTGGGTGACATTGTGATGAAGAATCAGAAAGCCAGAAATTAACTGGGGGACTTTGGGCCATTCCCTCTCCCAGCCCAGCCGAATTCTCAAAAAGAAGGGAGATCCACAGAAGTTGCCTTGAACTCCCAGAGGAAAAAGGTGGGCCAGAAATTAAAAAAATAAATGAAGTAAAAATGCCTTGGCAGCCGGGGCAACTGATTAAAAGTGTGCATTGTGTATCAGACTCTCTGGGCCCAGCAATGCTTGGGAGACCCAAATCTGAATAACCAGGTTTTGAAAAGCAACAGATCGTCATGCCAAGGACTAAGCATGACAGGCAGAGGGAGACAGTTGGCTCAGACAGGACGCGTAAGGTCCCTGTGCATGGAAAAGTCTATGCACGAGGGCTTCCTCTCCAATTAAGGTCAGACTAGCCCCCAACCGTGCGTTACCCCTGTACATTTGTCCTAGGGCATTTTATAACAAAATCCTCTGCTGGCATCTGAGTGAGGCAGTGACATCACAAGCATCAGGACGTCACTGTGCAAAGGATGCAGTTTACATGACATCCTTTGCCACATCTACATGAGGACCTCATAACATGTTCAATATCAGGGGGGCTCGTACCTGACACCTATGAACAGGGACACGTAACTGTGGTTCCCAGCACCCCTTTTTCATAGGCCTTTGAGCCTCGGCTTATCACAAGCGCTAAATGGGTGGCGTAGTTTCCCACCTTTTTAAAACAGAAGACTCTCAAAGCGCACGATGTATACGCTAAAACAGGTGTACAATTGTGGGAAAACCACCCCAAATCTCTCCTGGACTCAATCTCCTCTTGGGAAATCTTGATCCCCACCGTTGTACATTGTCACTCTTAGTATCACCCATCCTAGTCCGGCTCACCCACCCACCCAATGGGATGGCGATGGGCATCTGCTCATGTTTCTCTTTTCCCAGATGTTCCACTGGTCAAGCTCTCCAATACCGGAAACGGTTGTCCTGTCTTCAACTAACTTCATCCGGCCGTCACAGTTCGTGGAACAGGAAGGATAAGCCTGCTTTGGTGCAGTGGGTGACATTTCCACAAAATCATTCACCGAGATTACCTCTTTATTAAAAAAAAAAAAGAGAGAGAGAGAGAGACAGGCTCAACCCTTCAAGTTCCTCTTTGCTTTCTACAGAAACAAATCTGACGTCGTAAAGATGATCCTGCTGACGCTCTGCAAACAAACTCATTTTGCATAAGACGGGGCCTCCCACATCCTCTTCCCCAACCCCTTTACGCCAGCGGCTGCCTTTTGGAACGGGGACAGCATATTCTGGGTGACAGGCCGCAAAAGAGAAGGATGGAGAATTCATAAAGCTGTTTCCATGTTGAACAGTCATCTCCCTACACGCACATATATGCATACAAGTCAGGTGGGATAGATCAGGGGTCTTGAACTCAAGTCATCAGAAAGGCCCCATGTGGACTAGTTCCTTAGCTCTAGAGCAGTGTTTCTCAACCTTGGCTGCTTTAAGGTGCGTGGACTTCAATTCCCAGAATTCCCCAGCCAGCATGGCTGGCTGGGGAATTCTGGGAG